GAAGTTGCTTACCAGAACTAGCTTTTTTCTTGCTTTAAGATCCAAATTCCTGGGGCTGGGGATTTAGCTCAGTGGCATAAGTGCCTGCCTTGCAAGCAGGCAGTCGTGAGTTCGATCCCCGGTACTGATAAAAACGAAAAAAAAGACCAAAAAAAAAAAAAAGATCCAAATTCCTTACTGTTCATAGTAGGATTCTCTGTCTACAGAGATCATGCATTTCTAATGTGAATTTGACTAGGAATGCTTAAAATCTGAAACATTTTTGGTCCCAGTAGTTCAGAAAAGGGATGTACAACCTTAATAGATAACAGAAACAAAGATCTAGATGGCACGATGTTTTTAACATAGAAGTTTAAGTTATTTATTTACTATTTACTTCAAATGGAAAACTGGGATAAGGTGAACAAATGTAGATTAAGATGAAAGAAGAAAGCAGTGAGAAACAAATGAAGACTTATAGAAACTATTGGCAGGTTTTTTTTGGTTTTTTTTTGTACTGGGGATTGAACTCATGACTGCCTGCTTGCAAGGCAGGTGCTTATGCCACTGAGCTAAATCCCCAGCTCCAACTATTGGCAATTTTTGACAACTGCGGTGAAGTGGTATCTTAATGTGCAGCAGTTGAAGAGAATTTAGGCATGGCCTGAGGGTAGAGTTTGGGAGGGAGGAGGCAGTGAACTGGAAAGTCAGTAAAATTAGGATGCATAGCTTAATATCTAATCTCAATCTTACATTCCTACTTTGAGATAAATGACAGGTAGGAAAAGTACATTTATTACCCAATAAAAGACTGTTGAAGCCAGGCATGGTGGTGCATGCCTTTAAGCCCAGCACTGGGGAGGCTGAGACAGGAAAATGGTTGTGAGTTCGAGACCAGCCTGGGCTACAAAGTGAGCTCAAGGTCAGCCTGAACTGCATAGGGAGACCCTGTCACAAAACGAAAAAAAAAAAAAAAAAAAAAAAAAGAAGAAGAAGAAGAAGACTTGCTTTATTAGAGAATGGATAAAATACAATGCTTGAATAGATTTTATAAAGTTATTCACAAGAGAAAGAATGTAAATGGCTGACTAGGAGAGGAGTTCAATATAATGCAGTTGACTGTAACCTCTAGTAAGGTCAAGAACTACCTGTATGTCACTGTTTTTATCTCTGGCTCCTGGCATAGTATCTAGCAGCTGTAGGTAGACTCATCTGTTTGTTTGTTGTGTGCTTGTGTATGTGTCTGGGTATGTTGTTTTTTGAGACAGGGTCTCATTGTGTAGTTCAGGCTGATCTTGAACTCCTTGAATTCCTGTCAGTCATCCTGCTTCAGCTTTCCTAGTACTGAGATTACAGGCATGCGCCACCATGCTAGGCCTCATATATTTGCTGAATAAATGAAATAAACAAATGATAGCTCATGAGTTAGTGGCACAATTTAAAGACTCATGCCTGTAATTGAAAATCATATGGTTAAAGTGCAGTCTCTGGTAGTGTTGTCAATTGATAAATCTATTAGCATTGAAAGGTATAGTGGTGCATGCCTGTAACCCTACACTGGGAAGGTTGAGGGGGGAAGATTTCTGTGAGTTCGAGGCCAGCCTGGGCTACATACTGAGTTCAAAACCAACCTGAACTACAGTGTCTTAAAGCAAGAACAAATACATGTATGTGATTATCTCCAGAATATTATTTATTTTGGGGGATAAAATTATTTTTTAATTTATTTATTTTTGTGCAGTGCTGGGGATCAACAGAGCCTTGTGCATGCTAGACTGAGCATTCGCAACCTGGGTGAAATTGGTAGCTATGTTTCATGTTGGGCTTCCATCCACCCTTTTGAAATAGTCTCATTATGTTGTGTAGGCTGGCCTTGGAAACTCCTGGGCTCAAGTGATCCTTCTGTCTCAGTTTCCCAAGGTAGCTGGGCTTACAGGTGCATGCCATAGTGCCAGTTCTATATTCTTTTTGTTTTGAATGCAAAACACATACTATTTTATAATGGGAAGAAAACCTTATGGTATATAAATCTTATGAAAAATATATAAACTGAAGGAAAGTACTCCTTACTCACATTTATAAGAATAGTCAGAACAGTAGCTGAGTGTGCTGGCACACCCTGTGATCCCAGCTCTCAGGCTGCTGAGTCAGGAGGATGCTGGATTTAATGCCAGTTTGTGCTGCAGGATGAGTTCTGGGCCAGATTGAACTATATAGAGAGACCCTGTCTCAAACAAAACAGACAGACAAACACAAGACAGAATGAATAGCCAGAACATTGACTGAGGGCCAAGAAAGATTTAGCTAAGTAGAGTGACAGTCTGCATCATTTGCTGGAAAGCTGCGTATATGTACAGATTGCAGTTTTCTTATGTTTAACTTGTGAACATTCCAAATGTAACACATTCTGATGTTAAATTACTTGTATCAAAAATAATGTTTCTTTTTTTTAGAGACAGAATTGTGCTATATAGCCCAGACTGGTCTCAAACTCTTGTCAAATCTCCTGCTTCAGCGTATGTAGTACTAGGATTTAAGACAGTTGTGTCTAATTATTATCTATATCCTCTATAGCTGACAATTCTAAGTTTGCCAAAGAAGTATGGAAAAATGTAATTTTGGTAATATTTTGAAAAAGTAATGAGCTTTCTTTCCTCTCACATTTTTTCTATAATTTTCTTTAGAGTCTGTGACTATATTCAAGGTTTTGTTTGCAGCGGTCTTAATTATAGTATTAGCTAAGATAAAGAAAAATGAAGAATTCTAGGATTAGACAAAAGGAAAAAAGAATCAAACACCTGCACAAAAATAAGAGGATTGGTTAAATAAAATTAATTAATTATGGGTTTTCCACTTCTTTATTCCAACTCTTGCAGTCAGATACAAATGTATATGGGTAGAAGGGTGTATTCTGGTTTTGGAATTTTTGTTGTTGTTATAGAGAACAGGGTCTTGCTATGTTTATCCTGAAGTTCAGGTTAGCCTCAGACTCTGCGAAGCCAAGACTAGCCTTGAATTTTTTTGATCCTCCTGCCAATGGGAACGAGAGATGGCAGCAGGAGGGTGGGAGGGAAAGGGAGTGAAAAAAAGGAGTTAAAGAGGTGCTTTGTATGTATGTGCCAGCTCACCCCAAGGAGTGTGTTATGTACTGTGAACATGTGCTAATAATAATAAAATTAGGGGCCAGGGTTTAGCTCAGCAACACAAGCGCCTGCTTGGCAAGCAGGAGTCCTGAGTTCGATCTCTGGTACCAAAACAGTAAAAAAGTTAAAAAAGAAAAAGAAAAAGCGGATTAACAGTTCTTCATGTGGGTGAACTGTGGTTTAATCGTTTCCCTATACTTGGGCATTCAGTTATCTACCAGAAAAATCATGTTGCAGTGAATATCCTTTTAGTGTAGCCATGCTTTTAAGTCTGTGGGGTATAGGCCTAGTAGTGAGAGTGGGATTTGTGGGAAGGATGTCTGTTTTTTTCTGGTTGAGTTTGAAATTTGTCTTCACTGTTTTATCTTTGACACCTTAAAAAAGTAGCTTTTTTTTTGGTACCAGGTATTGAACTCAAAACTTTGTGCTTGCCAGGCAGGTGCTTATGCCCCTGAGCTCGATCCCCAGCCCAGACAAGTAGCTCTTAATTTATTGTTGTTATTAAATAAGACACTTTTCTCATTGGTTTGATTTGGATTTATATATGGCCCCTGTTTTGTTTCACTAATTGGTTACTCTCTGCTATCGTGCTGTTTTGACAGTGGTGGCGACTTCACAGTAAATGTCCTATCTATGGACAAATTCTTTATGGTTGTGTTCCCTCCCCAGTGCCTTCCATTGTTTGATGATGATTTAAGATTTTAATAGATGGTTGTTGCTTACTTACTAAGTTCCTAAGTACAACTTAGGAAGTGAAAATAACTATTGAATCTTGGGATACCCATTTATCTTAGAGCAACTGATCATTGTTGATATTGATGGTGTCCTCTCCTATCCAAGCATGGATATAGCAATGTAACTTTCAAAAGTTGAGGAAAATAGAGTGATCATTATGAATTTCAAGGGGCACAGGTTAACCATAAGGGGAAATACTTTAGGCCTTTGAGAAGGGACAATTCAATAATAAACCCCAAGGCTAAAATACGCTATACAGAATCTCTAGAGCCCTAATGTATATTTATGACCCCTTTTGTCCCAATTTTATTTTGGAAAATGTTAAACATATAAAAAGGCATAATGAACATCCATCTGCTTTTTACCCAGATGTGCCAGTTTACTTTTTATTTTTTATTTTTTTGGTACTGGGGATCGAACTCACGCATGCTTGCCAAGCCAGCGCATATGCCGCTGAGCTAACCCCCCAACCCCTCAGTTCACATTTTTTACTGTACAGTAATTGCTGCTGCTTTGCTCCCCCTTCTTCAGTTCTTCCTGTCCCTTGCTCCTCTCCCTGTATGCATGCATGGTTACATGCACATGTGCACATATTTTTATACATGCCAGATAGATGTTTGGATGGGTATGGAACCATTTGAGAGTTAACAGACATCATGATACCTCGGCTGTTTGCTTGGCATATCAAGGAAGTTCTTTTTAACCAAATATAGCTACTGCAGTTGAGGAACAACATTAATCTATGATCATCTAAAATACTGCCTATATTCAAATTTCTCCCCTGTTTTCTGGTAATGACCTTAAACAGGCATCTCCACTCCCAGTAAAAGGTCTGAGGAATGAAGGTCATATGTTAGATATTGGTTCCCTTGAATTTAGAAGTAACGCTCCTGCCCTCCCTTTTGTTAAATGTAATAATACTTATTTTTTTGTTTTTAAAGACATTTTAGAAGAGCACAGGCTGGTTTTACAGGAAGTGCTTCAATTAAGGTTTGTTTATTCATAGACTAACTGTGGTATGATGAATCTCATCACTTTAGGAGACATATGATGTGGTCAGTTTCTCTATATTAATGTCTGATCAATAGATTAAGGATATTAAGCACTACCTTTACCTATTTTTACTTGTTTTTTTTGAGACAGGTTCTTTCTTTGTAGTTCAGGCTGGCCTTGAACTCAACTGTCTAGTCCAGGCTGGCCTCGAATTTGAAGTGATCTTCTGCTTCAGTCTCCCAAGTGCTGGGATTACAGGTGTGTGCTACCATGGCTGGTGTGTCTGTTTTTACTGATTTTATTTTTATTTTTTATTTTTTTCTTTTGAGACAGAGTCTCGGTATGTAATCCAGGCTGGCCTTGAATTCACTTTGTAGCCTGGGCTGGCCTCAAACTTAAAATGATCCTCCTGCACTCCTGAGTGCTGGGTTTGCAGGCTTGGGCCACCATACCCTACTTGTTTTTGCTGATTTTAAAGATGTTTTTTTCCTCTTCGCTCTAGGGTGATACCGAATATCATATTTTCCCAAAATTTTGGCTTAGTTTATTGCTAACTCTTGCCTCAGTTACTTACATAGTGATTGCCAATAGGTGACTTTCTGATTTTTTTGTTTCTTTTGCATTTGTTGTCATACTGATATAAAGGTGGCCATTTCCTCTCTGCTTAATTTCTCTTATTTTTATTGTTAGGTTCTCAGGGATCTTTATTTTTTTTGTCTTCTCGAGACAGGGTCTCGCTTGTAGTTCAGGCTGTCCTTGAGCTCACTTTGTAGCCCAAGTTGGTCTCAAATTTGCAATGATCCTCCTGCCTCAGCTTCCCCAGTGCTGGATTAAAGTAGGAACTACCAAACCCGGCTCACAAAATCTTCCATTCTTGTCATTATTCATTTTGTGCTCAAATGTTTTAAAATGTAATGTGGGAGACCCTCTTCCAGGCTTACTGTGCCATTTTGATGTGTCTCCATGCTGTTGTGAGCTTTCTTAACCATCACAAGATGACTCAGCTCTTGGTATCTTCCTTCCCTGCTGCAGCCTGGAATCAGCTGTTTCTCCAGGTCCTTCCGCCTTCACAGTGGGCAGGGTGGGAGAAGCCTAGAGCTGGGCTGGTGCTCCTCCTCCTGTGGAGTGGCAATGCTGCCCGGCCAGGGTGGTGAACTTTGCAGAGCTTTCCATGACACAAACAGCCTGTGGTGGCGTATGCGTCAGGGAATTGCTACCACACAGTTCAGGTAGATAGAAACAGAGAGCTCAAAGGGTATATACATGCTTACTTTCAGTTTTTCTTCTTATTTTGTATGATTTTTATACTTCTCATAGTAAGATCTTTGGTGTCTCATTGAGCTTTCATTTGCTCAGTTGATGGCAATGAATTTGCTACTGCACCATCGTCACCAGCACCAAATCTTGAAAGTTGAAGATTTCTGGTTTTTTGTTTTTGGCCCATTGAGAATGATTTATAATGTATTGTGTTAGTTTAACATAAGTACTTCATGGTTCACATTAAGTAAAATTTTAGATAGCTATCCTTTTATCTTGCTAATATTCTTTTAAAAATACATAATTTGATCATCCCATATATTTTCTTTTAATGTAGCAGTTAATCTTAGCTGAATCATATTTCAGTATATTAATTGTAGATGTTCTGAGGGATATGCTGTAAAATAGTTCTGCTTGGGCAGCAAAAATATACTTCAGACTGACTCATTTAATTTTTTTCTCACATTTAAATTTCATGTTAATTTTGTTTTAATTTTTTGTTTATTTATTTTATTTTATTATTATTATTTTTTTATCGGTACCGGGGATCGAACTCACGACTGCCTGCTTGCAAGGCAGGCGCTTACGCCGCTGAGCTAAATCCCCAGCCCCTATTTTATTTTTTTTTTTTGCTGCACCAGGGATTGAACTCATGACCTCGCACTTCCCTGGCAGATGCTTATGCCTCTGAGCTACGTGTTAATTTTAGTGTAGCACAGATTAGTGGAATTATTGGTTTTGAGAAAAACTTCATTTTACACAGAGATGGATTGATGATCAGAGAGAAGAAAAAAAGTCTGTTAAGTTTGATACAAAAATAAGTCAGATCACAAAAGTAGACTATAAGAGCTAGCTACAAGTGGGATATTTTTAGAAGCAGTTAATTATAATTTGAGCTTTCCGCCAGCCTTATTAAAAGGAAGTTTCAGTTGGATGGCTTTCATTGCTGTCAAAAAGAAACAGAGTATGTTCAGCATTTAATCATAGAAGAAATCTTAATATTTTTATAACAAATATATGATTAACCCCTCCCTTGTTTTCCTATCTTCCTATCCTTCCTTTCCTCTCTTCATTTCTCCCTTCTTTCCTTCTGTTTCTTTCTTTTGGTCAAGCGCAGGCTAGCAGTGAACTTGTAGGTTCAAGGAGCAGTCCTCTTGCCTCAGTCCCAAAGTAGCTGGGACCCACAGGCACATTACAATGCCTAACTCATACAATTACTTCTTCAGTGATTATTTTAGCACTGATGAGTGTATAACATTAAATCATATGCTGTATTATTTTTTTGTGTTTGTGGTGGGAACTGAATTCAGCGCCTTAAGCACTCATTTTATCACTCATTCTGCCAGCCTGATCTTTCAGGATTTGAATTTAGGTAGTTACCACAACCCCTAGACTGTTCATAACTTTGTAATAGAGGGGCAGCACCATAGTTCAGGAGACTTAATGGAAATTTGTTAGTAACCAAAAATTTATTAATCAGCCTAAATGTGCTGTATGATATTCTTTGGTTTTAGTCTCTGAACTTTAAGTACAGGACTGGTGTGGTGGCATGTGCCTATAGTCTATGCTTGAGAGGCTGAGGCTTGAGAATTAATCACTGAGTTCAAGGCCAATCTGAACTACATTGCAAGACCGTGTCTCCAAAAAAACCAAAAAACAAAACCCCAACCTTTACTGTAGATGTTTTATGATATTCATTAAAGGCAGATTTGGAAACTGTCTTTCTCTCTCTTCTTTTTTTATGGGGTTTTTAGGTTTTTTGAGACAAGATTTCACTATGTAGTGCAGGCTGGCCTCAAACTTGCTTATGTAGCCCAAATTGGCCTTGAACTACCAGTAGTCTTTCTGCTTTGGCCTCCTGAGTGCTAGGATTACAGTTGTGTGCCACAATGGTCAACAGATTAAGATTCTTTTTATGGTTCTGGTTTAGAGTGTGAAGTACTAGGAAAAACAAAGAAATCACTTAGTATATCTGAAATAGATTATGTTCTTATCTAAGTTTATTAGAATATCTTGCAAGTAAGAAAAAATTTGACTATATTGGAAACACTTAACATTCTCCACCCTTTCTCATTAAATTGGCTTACTTGCATGATACTAAATCATGCAAATTAGGAAGTTCTATTTTTGGATATTTACTTTCACTGTATGAATTGTTGATAGGATCCTCAGGAGTATGCTGATTTTTGCTGCCCAATCTGCTTTTATAATTATGGTTATCTTGTGGTACCTGTCCATCATCCCAACACTTGGGAGGTAGAGGCAGGAGGATTACTGTGAGTTTGAGATCAGCCTGGACTACATAGTTCAAGCCCAGTTTGAAAAAAACTTTAGGGGCTGGGGATTTAGCTCAGCGGCATAAGCACCTGCCTTGCAAGCAGGCAGTCGTGAGTTAGTCTTTTTGTTTATTTGTTTTTCAGACAGAGTCTCATGTAACTCAGGCTGGCCTTGAACTCACTATGTAGTCCCGGCTGACCTCAAATTCGAAAGTGATCCACCTGCCCCAGCTTCCTGAGTGCTGGGCTTATAGATGGCGTGCCACCATGCCCAACTTGATTGGCTTTAATTTTCTGATGTGGTTTAAAATTTAGGTTAGAAATCATACATTAATACAACTTGATTTTTCCTTTTGGCCTGTGGCTGGACTTTTTTTTTTTTAAGACAGTCTAGGCAGATGGTTTAATCTGCCTGTATGGAAAAATGTTGCAGATGATAATCTTTTGTCTCAGGATTTGACTTTTCCCCTCATTGTCGTTTAACTAGAAAGTCCTTGCTGCTATATGTAAGTAAGTTATTTCTCTTGATTTATTCCAGTGAAAATACAATGATTATAGAAATGAAGTTTGTATTTTCATGATTATGAGAATTACACTTGGATATTTCCCTCACCCAAAAGTTTTTCAGTACAATTCTTAGGTGAATTGCTAATCCAAGTTAATAATAGTTTCTGTCACTGAATATCTCAATTTAGCCATTTATTGAGTTACTGATTGAAATATTTATATATTTTTTAATTTTAATTTTTAATTTTATTTTTTTTGGTCTTGGGGATTGAACTTGTAACCTCGTGCTTACCAGGCAAGTGCTTGAGCTGCTGAGCTAAATCCCTGGCCTGAAATATTATATATTTAGAGCAAAAAGATAAAATTTTAAGGAAATCTAAAAACACTGAAGCTGAAGTCAAACTGCATAAGGGTAGACATCAAGGAAGTTATGTTCGGGACAATATAAAGTAGAGAAAAAGAACTGGACCTGGGAGAGAGGTGAGCAAGTGAGGCCAATTTTGTATGTCTGTTAGGGCAAAGAATAGGTAAGTCTTTGTGGCAGAAGCTGGAAGCATTTTTTTTTTTTTTTTTTTGGTGCTGGGGATCTCATGACCTCACACTTGCAAGGCAGGCGCTTAAGCCACTGAACTAAATCCCCAACTCCTAAAAGCTGAAAGCATTTATAGGAACTACTTAAGATTGGGGTTCTTTAAGTACTACTTTACCTCTGAATGTACAGTTTTAGCTAGCAGACTTCTTTAAAAATTGATAAACTCATTCCTGTAATTCCAGCTACTCAGGAGGCAGAAGTGAAAGAATCACAAGTTTGAACCTAACCCAGATAACTTAGGGAGACCCTGTCTTAAAATAATAAGGAAAGGGGGTTGGGGTATAGCTTAGTGGTAAGCTCCCCTAATTTCAGTTCTCAGTAGCCCCCCACACATACATGTACTTAATAAGGTTGGGCTAGTGGTGTAACTCAGTGGTAGAGTACTTGTCTACCAGACACTACAAAAAATTGTAAAAAAAAAAACAAAACAAAACAAAAAAACTTCATAAGGTTAAACGCTTCATTAGGGGAGTGGGTTCTAGTATTCTGGACTAGTATTTTTTTTCCCTGGTTGTGAAAGATTCTACTGGCATTAATTGATAAAACCATTGCCCAACCATTATCCAATGCCTGTTACTTGGAAAGGAATCTGACTCAGATATTAAACTGATAGAATCAATCCTGAAGTTTTAATTTTTCCATTTTTTGGTGTGATAAAGATTGTGTTTCTCTTCATAGCAACATGAATCTTGAAGACCGGAATGTGCTGCGTATGAAAGAAAGGGAAAGGCGGAATCAGGAAATTCAGCAGGGTGAAGACGCCTTCCCACCGAGCTCTCCTCTGTTTGCTGAGCCATACAAAGTTGTGAGTTATCTTTCTTTGATTTTTCTTTTTTCCATTAATGTGATACTTTTAAAATGTTTTTGGATTTTTATTTTTTATCTTAGAAAACTGGTCATGAATATCATTTAATGTTTTTTCTTCTAAACAGAACGTACTGTTTTAGGTAAGGTTTTTTGAAGTATTGCGGGCATGTATAAAACTACAGAAAATAAGTGTTATTCCTTGAAGAGTAGTGCTTAACTAAGCAAGCCACAGAAAATCAGTACTCAGTTCAAGAAGTGGAGCATTACAAATAGTTTAGAAGTCTTTCTCAAACCTCTCTCTCATTTCTGTTCTATACTTTTAAAAATTGGATCTGAATTGGCTCGAACATTCCTTTCTGTACTCTTGGCTGTGCACTTGCCAGTAAAGCCTTTGGTTTCTTTGTAGCTGTTCTTCGGCTGTAATATCAATCAGAGATGATTTTTGTAGATACTGTTACTTCTCTTTATTTATTTATTATTTTATTACTATTATTATTTTGGTATCAGGATTAAACTCACAACTTTGCACTTGCCAGACAAGTGCTTACACCACTGAGCTAAATCCCCAGCTTCTCTATACTTTTTGCCTTTTGCTTACTTAGTTCACTAGGTTTCATTAACTTCTTGTATGTTTGAGTAAAGTATCTTCAATATCAGTTTGGCCCTCTTTCTGTTATCATGGACTGAATTCTCTTGATTTTTCGTTTCCTTCTCATGTATTTATGTGTATATGGGGTTTCTTTGTGTGTGTGTGTGTGTGTGTGTGTGTGTGTGTGTGTGTGTGTATGAGACAGGATCTTGCAGTGTAGTTTAGGCTGGCCTTTAGTTTACCACATAGCCCAGTCTGACCTTGAACTTGCAGTGATCAGCCTGACTCAGCTTGCCCAGTGATGAGATTACAGGCATGTGACACCATGCCCAGCTATAATGTCCCCTATTAAAGCCATTTATGCAAAATTTTAAGGATTTTCTCATTTAAGGATAATCAGACCAATACCATTTATGTGAATAAGATAAGACCTACCATTAATAATTTGGGGGTTGAGGATTTAATTAGAGATTAAAGAGATTGGTAGAGAGAAACAAAAGCTTTCTCCAGAATCTTTGAATTGTACTACCATTTATTTTGTAATCACACTGTAATGAATTGAATTTGTTTTCTGATAATGATATCATCTCTTGGACAGAATTTTTGAACACTTTAATCAATTTTGGTATTTCAAAGTAGTAAAGGTTCAATTTTTATTTCTTTTTAATTAGTAAATTTCAATATGTATGAATATGGAAAAGTCCTAATGCTTATAGATGTTTTGAAACTTATTTCCCAAGAATAATTTTTGAAACTTGAAGTATTAACTTTAAAAGTAGTCAGAGCTTACTAGTCAGAGTTAACAGCTAGGATTTAAACTTCATCGGTGAGTTTTCCATGCTTAATTATTTTTTGAGATGTTTATTAGCTGGTGAGTCTCAGCAGCAGGAATTAAACAGTTGAGTATAACCTGTTTCACTAAGTTTTTGTTCTGTTCCTAACTATATCATTGAATTATAAGGGACATAGTGCTTTTATAGAGTATATTTAAAATATAAATGTTGGACCATAAATTTAGCTCAGTGGCACATGTGCTTGCCTGTCAAGCTCAAGGTCATGAGTTTGATTCCTGAGACCAAAAAAACCCAAAATAGAAATGTAATCTGCTGGTCTGGAATTTAATTACATAATAGCAGGTTACTTTTTTTTTTTTTTTTTTAATGTGTCTTTTTGACACAGGGTTGTGCTATGCAGTTCAGGCTGGCCTTGAACTCACTATGTGGCCCAGGCTGACCCACACTCACAGTAATCCAGAGTATTTATTGGTGAAATTTGGATTTTTTTTTCCATCCTGGAACCTATGTGTTTCTTACTGTCCTATAGAATGTTTTTGTTTAACCATGATTATTTTCAGAAACTTTTGGTGAACTTTTTTCACTAGCAAATTATATATTTAGAGCTTGCTTCTAGATAATAAGTTTAAGACATTAAGTGAAGACTTCCTTAGAAAAGCCCCTTCACATTTGAAGGTTAGCCAGAAGCATATCTTACTTCTGATTATGCTAATAATTTTTTGTTACCTTCTTGTAGACCAGCAAAGAAGATAAGTTATCAAGTCGTATTCAGAGTATGCTTGGAAACTACGAAGAAGTGAAGGATTTCATAGGAGACAGAGCGATACCAAAGCTTGTTGCAATTCCCAAGCCTACGATACCAACAACAGATGATGAAAAATCAAAGCCAAATTTCTTTGAACAGAGACATGGAAGCTCTCATCAGAGCAGCAAGTGGACCCCTGTAGGACCTGCACCAGGCACTTCTCAGTCTCAGAAGCGGTCCTCAGGCTTACAGAGTGGGCATAGTAGCCAGAGGACCAGTGCAAGTAGTAGCAGTAGCACTAACAGCACCAGTCAGAGGCATGATCGTGACTCATATGGTGGCAGCCGGAAAAAAGGCCAACATGGATCAGAACACTCCAAATCACGATCTTCTAGCCCTGGAAAACCCCAGGCTGTTTCTTCATTAAGCTCTAGTCATTCCAGATCTCATGGGAATGATCATCATGGCAAGGAACATCAACGCTCCAAATCACCTCGAGACCCTGATGCCAATTGGGATTCTCCTTCCCGTGTACCTTTCTCAAGTGGGCAACACTCAAATCAGTCTTTCCCACCTTCGTTGATATCAAAATCCAGTTCAATGTTGCAGAAACCCACTGCCTATGTACGGCCCATGGACGGACAGGAATCTGTGGAACCAAAGCTGTCCTCTGAGCATTACAGCAGCCAGTCTCATGGCAACAGCATGACTGAGCTGAAGCCCAGCAGCAAAGCACATCTTACCAAATTGAAAATACCTTCCCAGCCATTGGATGTAAGTTGCACATCTAGAGCTTTTTGAATTGTGACTATATAAAATAACTGACCACAGAATTATGAGTTTGAACTTTTTGTCTTACTAGTAAAGAATATAAAAGTTTAAAGAGGGAGGGATAGTTTAAGAAAGACTTGACTCTCAGATGGATTCATAAAACTATGAACTCGTGTTTTGGGAAAAGAAAGAATATGCCATTCATTTAATATTCAAATATTAAAATGACCAGTCAGTTACGGAATAAAAGCTATGATCCAAAAAAAAAGTTATAATCCATCAGTACCTTAGTTTTCCTCTTAAGTTTAAAAAGAAAATTAACTTCTCTGTTTTTACAGTGATATCATGAATAAGAAGTGGACCATAGTCCTTGGTGGTGATTGTTGGGATCTTTTGATCTGTGGCAATGTGTAGTTTGGATGCTGTCATCCTTTTCCTAGTTTTACTAAAAATATTGAGACAGCTGGTATAGGTGTGTATTAAAGCAGAATATTTAAATGAAGAATTAGGCAATCATTGTACAGTAGTTCCAGTTGTATCTTTTAATGTAGTTTGTGCAATGAAAAGTTCAAAAAAGAATGTTAGAAGCCAAAAATCAAAGCTCATGGTTCAAAATAGCGGAGAGTAATCAGGAGTACATAAAACATTGTTCTGAGAACATTTAAGAGTCTTTCCTGTGGCCTTGAGAAACTCAGCATTAGTTGCCCTTGTCATCTAATTACTGCTCTGAAGAAAGCAGTAAAGCTCTTTAATTGTTTTTAAAGAACAGAATTTAGCTCTTTAATTCTTATTTGTGCCTCAGAATAAGCAGTTAGCTTTCTGTGATTTAGGAGTGTGTAAAATGTCCATTGTGTTCCAGACCAATAATCCTTTAGGAATACTCATTTTACTGTATATGCAAAATGATATATCTTAGTATGATGGTGTATTTTGTATATGAATAAACTTAAATTTTGGATAAGCTACTTACCTGAAAAATTACATTTTAAAAATTATTTAAAGAATAAGAAAGATAGGAATTTTAAAACTTTTTTAAAAATACAAAGTTTTCAAGCTATGCACAGTTTGGTAATTAAAATTATATTTAGAGAAATTAGTCCAAAGATTCTACCTGGTGTTCTGATTTAGAATAGTGGAATTATACATCTTTGAATTATGTGTTATTTCTGATGTTTTAAAATCTGTGCAGGAAATACAAAAAAGCTAATAAATTACTCCAAATCTTATGTGTATTTCATTTCTTTTTCTTAAGGCATCAGCTTCTGGTGATGTGAGCTGTGTGGATGAAATTCTTAAAGTAAGTTTTTTAAAGCCTTTTCAATCTCTGTTGTTTAATTATGATACTCTGACCCCTCTTTCCACCTATCTTTCATGGAGTGCCTGAAGCAACAATTGGTTTTACATGTAACTTGATTGTGTCCACCATATATAATTGTTCTGCTTACACTTGCATTGTAAATCACATGATTTACTATTTGTCTTCAAAGAGTTGACTTTGCTTTTAAGTAAAACAAATTCTAATCCTACCAGTTTGCCTTGAAAAGGGAAGCCACATATAGCTGCACTGTCTCAGGTTATCAGTCAATAATTTGAAGCACTAAAAAACTTAAGTAGTTGTTATTCAAACTATTATGTTAAGACTAGCTTGTTCTGTGGTTCATCTGTATATAATAGCAAAATCCTACAATAAAAGGGCTCCTGAGCAATGTACAATTTGAATATTTATTGGTTATATTTTAAATCTGGACATAATCAAAAAAGTACATTCCTTGATTGAAAAAGAAAACGTCTGTTGGGAAGAAAGTCCAAAAAAAAGTCCAGCGAGTTAGGGAGTAACAGTGACTGCTTTTTTGCTCAGAGGAGAAAACTGTCGGTCTCTCATTTCTTGTACTTTTTTAGGGGGAGGAAGACTCCTAAATTTTTGTGTTCTTTTATTTCACTATAAGCTTTTTTTTTTTTGGCACTGGGAATTGAACTTGGGGACCTTGTGCTTGCCTGGTTAGGTGATTCAACACTTTTTCTCCCATTCCTTCCTTCAGGGTGCTGTGATCTTTCTGTCCTTGTACCGTTGTACTTACTATCTTCTTCTTTACACTGGGGGTTTAATGTGAATCCTCCCTCTACCTGCTGCTTTTTTTTTTTTTTAAGTACTGGGAATCTAGTCCTGAGTCTCACACATATACTAGGCAAGCCTCCAACATGCAGTCTTCCTGACTCAGCCTCCCTGAATAGCTGGGATTACATATAGGTTTGTGCTACCAAACTGCCTTAAGTTTTCTTTATGGTCTTTGTTGTTTAAGATTTTTAAAGTGTTTTTTTTCTGGCAATATCATTCTTTTTTTGACTGTTGTGTTTTGTTGTTTTTATTTCCCACCCACTTTGCTTGTCTCTTGTTCTCTGCCTTTCTTTAAAGTATGGGTATATTCTTTTTGCCTCTTTTGTCTGGACTTTATCTCATCGTTTCCACCCTGCTTGGCCTAATTGTTAAATAACTCTCAGTCTTCCTTTGGGTTTTTGTTTATCTCTGAACTGTTTTTTTGTTTTTTGGGTTTTTTTTTTTGGTATCAGGAATCTAACTCAGGACTTTGTGCTTGCCAGGCAGGCTCTGCTACTGGGCTGTATCCCTGGCTTCTGAACTGCTTCTTAACTGAGTTTCCATTTAAATTTTCTGTTTGCTTTCAGACTGAACATGTATAAAGCCATACTTGTCAAACTTCCTCTGTTAGTAGTATCACCATTCTCCTGTGCTTGTGTAAACTCTCATCTCTTAACTTCATCCTCTCATATTCTATTTCGTCAGAAAACTAGGTATAGACTTTGAGGTTTCATTGTATATATTCATTCCTGTGCGTTTCTGCTGTTTTGAGCTTTACAGTTTTGAGTCCTCTTTCTACCTTCAGTCTCTTTGTTCATCTGTCTTCTGCATTGCTTCCACATTCTTGTCTTTACTCCCTGGTCTTCATCGCTTAATTTTTTTTCTCTTAAATTTTTAGTGGCTTTCCAAGACCCCTAAAAAGAAAGAGTGTCCACATCTAACCTCCACAGGCCAATACTAGCCTCCCTACTACCAACTGAGCACTTTTCTGAATTGCTTTCCAGTACTGGGAATTGAACCCAAGAGCTTCACACTGAGCTACATCTTCAAACCTTTTTTTCCTCAAGACAAGGTCTTGCTAAATACTAAGTTGTGAATTGCCCAATATGGACTTGAACTTGCAATTCTCCTGTTCTAGCCTCCCGTCCTGCCTGGCCACTGCTGCTGCCTTATTTTATTTATTTATTTATTTATTTATTTTTGAGACAGGACCTTGTTATATAGTTCAGGCTGGTCTTGAATTCACTATGTAGCCCAAGAGGCCTCAGACTTCCAGCGATTCTCATGCCTCAGCCTCCTGAGTGCTGGTGTTATAGGCTTGTGTCACTACCTGGCAACCTGGCTTCTTTTACTTCCATAAAGTAAACTTTCTGGGAGTGTTTTTCTTCCTCCTCAGTCATAGATTTTCCTTTTTCAGAAGAATCCCAATGAAAACCTTCCTCCTATATTAGATCACAGTGGTAACTGTTTCCTTTAAATCATAATATTTTTTAGGTGCTGTGTATATAAAGTCTAAAGAGAGCATTATGTCTTTCCTCCTTAATCCTCAGCAATCATCGAATTTTAATACCTTAAAGATTTTCTAGCATTTAATTATCTTTGATATTAATAACCATTTAATTCACCTTTTATATGTGCAAAGCTTGGCATACAATCTTGAGTGTATTACTCAGTCACTTGATGAGAGGGGATTAAAATAGATTTTCAGTTGGTAGAGAATATTTTATTATTTGAGGTAGAAAATGCCATTGCTGAAACCCTGGGATACATGAGTTTCTTTTCCTTTTCTCTATGTGCTGTCTGCAAGAAACTTCAGCTCTGCATTCCTTTCGTTTTCTTATTTTTATTTTCATGATTTATAAAACTGTTTATAGTTTCTAGAACCCCACTATGAATTTAAGAAAAAATTTTAATGAATCTTTTATTGAAAAAATTGATTTATTCAAAGCCTATTAAGTAAGAACCAATTATGTGCTGAGCACTGGGGATACAGTGCTGATAATGATAGCTGCACACTCTTGAGGGGAGGTTCTTGACCTGAGTGTAGGAAACAGTAGCAGTATAAGAAGGTAAAGAGCAGTTTATGTGCATGTGCCTGTTTAAGAGGTCTTAGTACATACTACATCAAGTGCCCTGGTCTCTTCTTTCTGTAGTTGTAGTACTGAAATGTTAATTGTCCTTCCAGAGACATTTTCATATACAAAATTTAGTAGGATATAGATTATGATTTGTGATTGTCACCTAACAATACACTGTGGACCTTGTTTCATGTTAGAAGTTAAATTTCTCATTTTAATGTCTGGTTGGTGTTCCATTGTATGGTTGTCTGCTAATTTATTTTATCTGATTAAATACCTAGCTTATTTCTGTTTTTAAAATGTGAGCCCCTGAAATGTATATCTTCACATAACTAGTTATTACTGTAAGATAAATTCCTAGGCATTATAGATCTTTAATTTACCTGATGGCTTATTTTGAACTAAATGCCACAAATAAAATACTTCTTCCACATTCTAAGTGTGATCCCGCCCCCCGCGTTATTCCCCTGACATACAGTGACCTGTCTAAACCCCAGTTGGCCATATTTGACATGACTTGACAAAAAGCATTAAATAAAATTGGAGTTAAGATCTTGCTTGTCTGTTTTCCTCCTCATGTGCTTTTGAAATCTCACTTCTGATTCCGTTCCTTGGCCAAATTTTTCTATTAGCACATGTACTCTATAGTCAGACTTTCTAGGATAAAATTTTATGTCCATTAGTTACTAACTGTATAACTTTGAATAAATTATCGGGCCTTTATGCTTCATTTTCATCCTATGTAGAGATAGGATAATAATGCTATCTGTGTCATAATGGCATTGTGAGTACTGAATGAGCAACAGACATGTAACACTGAGCATACTGCCTGGTTCATTGAAGGTACACAGTAAATGTTAGCTGTTTTCTTATCTTTTTCCCCTGGGCCCCCTGCAAACTCCTCAGTAGTGTTTTATTATGTGCCTTGTATTTGATTACAGGCGGATTACTGTAACTATTGGTAGATTTCATTATCCTAACTGTAAACTCCATGAAGCCAGGGAATATTTATTATTTATCTTCCTTTATTACCAGCCCCATACTGCCTTGCACCCAGTTGTGCTTTGTTAATACTTAAAGACTAAATACAATTTTGGAGGAGCAATTAAGAAACCAGCATTTATAAGTACAAATCTGGTTTTTAGCTGTATAGTTTTTATCCTTGACCTGGTTGAACACAAACTGTAATAATTACATTTCAGGAGATGACGCACTCATGGCCTCCCCCTCTAACGGCTATTCATACACCTTGCAAAACAGAACCTTCCAAATTTCCTTTTCCAACTAAGGTAAGTAAATAAAATGTGTCTTTGGTAATGTTAAAAACAAAAATCTCTAAATGGCTCAATTCAAAGTGTATGAGTTCAAGATTGTCATCCCTATTCTAGGGGGCAGTAGACTACAAATTTAACAACTGAATAAACAGATAAATTTAGGTAGTGGACTGTGAAGAAATTTAAACAGATTAATGATATCAAGAACATCTTGGATTGAGAAGTATTTAAGAAAGACTGGTAGGTAATGTGGAGAGAGCCTTTTTAAAAAAATTGATATTTATTGTAAACTGTTAACGATATTCTAGACCAGAGGTGGCAAGGGCTTCTCAGACTTTCCTTTGAGGAGGTCCTTATCATAGGGCACAGCAGCCATGCAGTGGCCTTGGAAAGAGGTTCCTTAAACAACTGTAAGCCCATCTAAAATCAGCAGGCTTTTAAAACATGAATTTAAATATAGTACTTACACAAATAACACCATAATACATTTTCCATGAGAAAGTTTGACCAGGAATCCTAATAATAGCCTTTCCCAAATCTTGCCCCTTCATCTCATCAGAGCTGCTTTCATATGTACCTTTTCAAATCTTTTTATATGTATTTACATATGTACATATGTAATTTTATGTATATAGTTGTTACATATAAGCGTTTTCTTATTTCTATACAGATATATTGTTCTGTATCATTAATCTGTCAATAGTAGTCTTGGAGACAGTTCCATGTTAGTACATATAGAGGTCTTTTATTTCTTTTAACTTCATCCATAGTATAAATACATGTATCCTAGTATATTTAGCTATTTCTCTGGTATTTTTGTTACCAAGTTTTTAGTTCTTTTAGGGGGGTGGGTATCAGGAATCAAACTCAGCCGCACACTTGGCAGGCAGGTGCTATGCCTCTAAGTTATAATCTTCGGCCCAAGTTTTTAGTTCTTAAACATTTCTTTAGTAGTTATATTTGTGCCATTTTTTGTTTTGCTTTTGTTTTATTTTTGGCCTTTTTGAGACAGGGTCTCACTATGCAGTTCAAGCTGGCCTTGAACTCACTTTGTAGCTCAGGCTGGCCTCACACTCACAGCAATCCTCCTGCTTCAGCTTCCCAAATACTGGGATTACAGTAATGCACCACCACACTAGGCATTGGTCTTGTTTTTGTGGTATTGGAGATTGAATTTAGGATCTTTGCACTGAGCTACATCCCCAACCCTTCTCTTTTTTCTTTTTAGGCAGGGTCTCACTATTAAGTCACTGAGTAGCCCAAAGTGACCTTGTGATCCTCCTGTCTCAGGCTCCCAGAGTGCTGGGATTATAGGCATGCACCACCATACTTGGAGCATGAGCATTTCTTCAGAATGTAAAACAAGAGAATTTCTGATGTGTGTGTTGACTATATACTCGCTGTAGTTGCATTATAGGATTTGTATCAGTGTTGTCACTTGTAGTACCTATTATTCCACATATGCATAGCACTGATATTATTCAACACCAATCTTTTGAGTGAAAAATGTCATTCTGCTTGCTGGGTTTCCAATAAGGGTTATCATTTTTGCATCTTTACATATTCATCGTTCACTTGATTTTGTTTCTTTTTAAATTTTTATTAATGCATGTTCACAGTACATAATAATTACATTTATTTGAGGCTTGGTACATATACATAACACAGTTTCTTTTTCCAGTTTGATTTCTGTATGGATCTGCCTATTCCTGCTGCCATTTAGATGGCATATTGTACCTAATGAGTGTAGGAGGGCTTCCTTTGTGTTTTTCTGGTGTTTGGTTGGAATTTTGAATTTTAATAATTAGTAATTTCAAATGTATCTCCCAGTGAGGTTCTTTTCTAAGTTTAATGGCCCAGAAAATTTTAATTTTGATGAATACAATATTTCCTTCCCTTTGTTTATAGCATTTGCTTCAACATTTTATTAAATAAGGCTTGTCCTCCTCCAGAATCATAAATATACCCTCATATATATATATATATATATATTTTTTTTTTTTTTTTTTTTCAATATAGTTTTAGTTTTGGTTTTGGTTTTCAGTGTTTTTTGAGACAGGGTCTCACTATATAATTCAGGGCACCCTTGAACTCACTGGGTAGCCCAGGCTACAAATTCTCAGTGATCCTCCTGCCTCAACCTGCTAAGTACTGGGATTATAGTCTGTACCACCGTGTTAGTTTTGCTTTTTTTATGTTTATTTTTAGCCCACATTACTTTTTGTGAGTAATATGTGAGGTAGGGATGTAACTTTCTGACTGCTGTATGACATATTTGTATTAAATGTAGTGTGAAGTTTTTTGTTTGTTGAGTCAGGTTCTCACCATGTAGTAGCATAGGCTAGCCTTGTACTCCATATGTAGCCCGTGCTGGTCTTGAATTCGTGATCCTTTTCCCCCAGCTTCCTGAGTACTGGAATTGTAGGCACATGTCATTGTGCTTGGCCTTAATTTGAGATTTGGTATATATACGCATCTGTGTTAACTGCTTTCCCCAGTTGAGAGTTAGAACATTTCCATCTCTCCCAAATTTCTTTGTAGTTCATCCAATTCCCACCATAGATGAGCCCTAGCACGCACTTGGTCTGTTTTGTGTTACTCTGCCATACAGTGTGTACTTTTTTTTTTTTTTTACATGTTTGCATGCCTTCTCTTACTCAGCACATGCTTTTAGAATTCTTCTGTGTGTGTGCACATGCGCACCCACTGGTCTAGAACCCAGGCCTGTGCATACAAGACATAAATGCTGTCATTGAGCTGTATCACAGCCTTCTTCCCTGTTCTGGAGTATATCCATAGTATTTCTTCTATATTTCCAATTAGTATTCTGTTATGTGAGAATACCAAAATTGACTTATCCATTTACCTGTTACTGAGTGTGTGCATTATTTTCAGATTAGGATGTTAAGAATAAATCAGCTATAAGCATTATCTATATGTCTTTTTGTGCTTTCACTTTTTTTTCCTCATGAATAAATGCTGGGTCTTACAATAAAAAGGGAGAATTATTGAGTTTTATGGTAAGTGCATGTTCAATTCATAATAAACTTAAAGGTGTTTTCCAAGGTGGTTGTTTCCCATTCCTATCACACTCCATCCTTAATTGTCTGCAGTTTATGATTGTTTTAGTTGTTCTATATCAGTGCCTACATTTAATGTTGCCAGCCTATTTAGTTTTAGCTTTTTTTTCTTTGCCCCCACACTAAACCCCCTTGCTAGCCTTTCTTTTCCCTTTCCTTTTCCTCTTTCTCTTTCTCTATTTCCTTTTCTTCTTGGTCTTTCTCTTTTTCCTTTTTTTTTTTTGACAGGATCTTGTAAGTTGCCCATGCCAGGCTAAAACTTAGACTCTTCCTCCTGCCTTAGTCTTCCAGTGTGTGGAGGTCACAGGCCTGTACCAACACAACTGGATAGTTGTACCTACTTTCCCAGGCTTTTAGTGTGCATCATTTTTATATTAATGTATTTCCTGGATGACTGATGATATTGAACACCTTTCATGTGCTTATTGGCCATTCATATACAAATTGAGTATCCCTTATCTAAAATATTTGAGGTGAAAAGCATTTTAATTTCATGTGATTTTGCCAGTAAACCTACCACTTGGGAGACTGAGGCAGGAGGAGTGCTAAGGCCAGCCTGAACTACTTAGGGAGATCCTGCCTCAGCCCTCTCCCCACAAATACAGGTGTTTTAAAGTTTCGGAATATTTTTAAGAAATGGGCTGTTTTAGGGGTGAAATCGAAGCCTAAACACAATGTTTATTTACATTCGTATACACATTACACATTAGACATACAGCCTGAAGATAATTTTACACAATGTTTTTATTGTACCTGCAGTTTGATTATAATCTGTCACATGAGGCCAGAAGTTGAATTTCTGCTTTTAGTATCAAGGTAGTGTTCAAGTTTTAGATTTGCAGCATTTTGGATTTTATTTATTTATTTTTGGTCTTTTTTTTTTTTTTTATCGGTACCAGGGATCGAACTCACGACTGCCTGCTTGCAAGGCAGGCGCTTATGCTGCTGTGCTAAATCCCCAGCCCCAGCATTTTGGATTTTAAATTTTTAGGTTAGCAATGGTTATCCTCTGTCTTTTTGAAGGGCTAGTTCAAAAAGTTTTGTGTGGATCTGGGCATGCAGCTCAGTGATTGAGTGATTGCCTAACATGCATGAGCCTCTGAGTTCAATCCCTAGTACTGTTTTAAAAAGGCTTTTGGTTTTTTTTTGGTGGAGATGTTGAGGCTTGTTTGAAGTGTTTTTTTTGTTTGTTTGTGTTTGTTTGTTTTTTTTTTTTTTTTTTTTTTTTTTTTTTTTTTTTTTGGTGCCGGGGATCGAACTGACAACCTCGCATTTGCCAGCTGAGCTAAACTTCTGGCCTCTTGAAGTTTCTTGTTTTTATTTGGCTTTGGTATTAGGCTTGTGCTGGTCTCTTAAAAGGAGCAGGAATGTGTTGCCTTTATCTCTAGTTTTTGAAATAGTTTGTGGACTATTAGTGTTAATTCTTCCTTGAGGGGGCTGGGGATTTAGCTCAGTGGCTTAAGTGCCTGCTTTGCAAGAGGGTGGTCATGAGTTCGATCCCTGGTACTGATAAAAAATTAAAAATTAAAAAAAATACTTCCTTGAATGTCTTACAAAAATTCAGCTGCAAAGCTGTCTGAGCCTGTAGCATTCTGTGTGTTTCTGTAGTCTACTGGGAATCCATCCCAGGGTGTACACATGTCACACACGTGCTCTACCACTGAGCTCTGCTTAATGTTGGTTTTAGTTTTTGGTAATGCTGGGGATCAGATACTTTATGGTTTTTAATTACAAATTCAAGTTTTAAAGTGGAGAACTACTTAAATGTTCTACTCATTTTTGTGTCAGTTTTGGTAATTTGTTTATACTTATTTTATTAATGTCTATAGGACCTATAGTGATGTATTCCCCTTTTTTTCCTAGTTACTGGTAAAGTGTGTGTGTGTGTGTGTGTGTGTGTGTGTGTGTGTGTGTGTGAATGTGTGTGCTTCCTCC